TTCTGCGATAAAAAAGTCACACTTTAAATCACAGCAACAGAATAAATATGTAGCAGCTATCATATTTAAGAATATACCCACTGAAATCCTGGTAGAGTCAGTCTTCACCAGATGAACAGTCTCTACCCAGGAATGCACAATCCCAGTCAGATGCTGATCTGTACCTCAAACCAGCCTTAATGAGTATTTAACTTGTCGTTAAGAATGTTTGCATTATGATAGATTAATTAGCCATATACAAACTTTTATGCTTTCCTGTCATTAATGTCTTTTAACTCCTTTTATAGTTTTGTTTTTGTGTTTAGCTTTTAAAATGTTTTAACTTTATGTGTTTTATATTTTTTTAAAATTCCTAATTATGTGTTATTTTTCTTATACTGGAATATGACCATAATAAAGATTTTATTGATTGATACTTTGAATTGTACTTACTGGCAACAAATGGAGCACCTGCAATATGCAGTACGTTTTCTGGTGAATTATTCTTGCTCAACAGCAAGTAGCTGCATTTAGAATCAGTTGCATTTATTGGAGTTTTCAAACTCCAGCCCAAGTGGAACACAATATTGTCTCCTCCTTAGTAGGGGAAAGAAACCAGGAAGGAGAGGAACCCAACTCTTAGAAGGCTAAGCTTACTTTGCTCATACTATTATTATTACTATTATGGGATTACTGTCAATTTGTCAAATTTGAAAGTTTCAACAGAACCCAATATGCAAGATGTTGGCCCATGTTTTTTATTAGTGTCTCCCTATATGATGTTTCTAGTTCTAAGTGAATATGAATGAATTTATCCTTATGAACAAATTTATCCATAAAACCTCTTGTAAACTTGCTCATGATGCTTAAACCTGCATTAAGATTGCATAAACTTGCTGGTCATTTTCCATCAAAGACTGGTAACCTTAAATAGTGCCTCAATTCAATATTGCATGGTTTTAGTAAGAACAGGAAAGTACTGAGTTTCACCATCCTTATTATCACAGTGTACATTCAGATGTGGGCTTGTATCTGTGATCACATTCATTGGTAAATAGATATTTATTATGTTGGTTTCTCTAGCAAAATTACTCTGGATATCGTAAATCTGAGGCCAGAGAGAAACTATTTGGCTAATTGTACTAGTACTTTTGCCTATTTAGTGTCAAAGAGATCAACCAGCTATACCTAGAATTGCTCATCAGAAATTCCCCAACTAATTTAATCCAGAACATGCCTAGGGCAGAGCATCTTAATCAATTTTTCCCTTGTGAAATTCAGAAACCAGCAGCGCTAATCACCATCAGCTGTCCAAATTCGATCAAAATTTAAAAACCTAAATCTTGTCGGGGAGAATTCTTTTGAACATCTGAATATGACATTTTGCATTTATCCAGGCAAGCACTACTTTGGAACAAGCTCAGTGGAAAATGGTGGTCTTTTGATCTGACATCAAGGGTTGTTAGAAAACAGAGAATTCAATCGTGTTCATGTCACTGCTAGATGACGCAGTTATAACACCCTGGAAGCATCAAACAGGCTGAAGTCAACTGTTCAAACATTCTTCTGTTATAACGCCTCAAAGAGCTTTTTCACAGTTATCTCTGCAATAATAACAAAGACTATTCTTACAGTAGATTTCCTTAACCACAAAGAATCCTGTAAGTTCACACATAAAAGCTACCAGCCCCAAAATTGGAAGGGGTGATCATGGATAAAATATAACAACCAACTTTATCCTCAACAGCTGCATTCTCAAATGGCAAAATAGACAGTGCATATATTAGTGTGGAATTACAGTACATTATATCATACCATAACATAAGGCTTAATAAGTTTGCATTTTTGTATTTGAATTTATTAGCAACCCAGCTAAAATGGACTTTAATATATAGTTTGCTAATTACTATATTGTGCATTATATACTTATACTTGGTTCAAATATTTATTTTTATGAATCAATTTATTTCTGCTTTCCAATGAACTTTATCTCATGATTTTTCTTCTGTGTATGTGCACTAATCTATTCAGTTCATCAAAACTGGTAGAAACCCAGATCCATTAGCTTGTCCATCATATGTCAGCTGCTATACTGAAACACCCTGTCTACTATGTAATTTATCGCTTTGGATAGCGAGATGGGTGGTATATAAATTTAATAATAACTAAATAAATATCCAAAAAATATCATGGTTCTTGTAATCATTAAAAAGTGGAGCTAGAAGAGATGTATTATTAGTGTTTAACCTATAGTATCCTGAATATAGCCATTAGATTCTGGATTCTTTTAGTCTTACTGAAATACTAAAAATATTAAAGATTTGTTGGAGGCTCAGGTTTTTAATAAACTCTGAGTTATCAATCAGTCTGTTATTTGCACTATCTCCATATGTCTACTAAACAGAAGACACTGTCCCAGGGGAATTGTTCTGAATAGCTACCTTTGGTTCTATATTACAAAATGAAAAAACAATGACAAAATAGTAGAAATTTATTATTAAAGAAATTCTTAAGGGGTGCCTATACATACTGAATGTCATTTTGAATAAATCAATGCAAATATGTGTTTAATTTTTATTCAAGTATATTAAAACATGGAATTAAATACCATAAGCAGTATAAATGTCAGGTTTCTTTTAAAAAAACATGCACGTATCTGTGGCCTGTGGCTAGACAGAATAGATGCACAATATTTGCCTGATTCTAAGAACTTTCCATCTTTGAAACAGATAGCTTCTAGCTTCTGTAGTTGTTGCCATGGAAGCTATCAAGAAATTCAAATGAAATGTGCTAAAATCTTGTTTTTGGTGTTTTCTTTAAGCTGATTATGAATCATAACAATTGTTTCAATGTTTTCTATTCTAGAATAATGAAAGTTAAACTGTGTGACTGTGTTCATTGGAAATTTTAATTTTTTTATAAATTATTTTTTCTCAAGAACTATTTCATACCCATGTTGGATACAGGGGAGACAACCTCTAAGAGAAGTAGATTTCAGGCTTTAAAAAATAAAAATAAATCAGTGCACAGTACAGAAGACTGACAGGAAAATGAGGTCACCTACTGAATTTTTCATGCATTCAAGTCCAGGGGAATCTGAGATTTATATAAAGCAGTGAGCTCATTATTTGCATCAGAACTCAATAACAAGGGGGGAGGGAATAACATGGGGAAAAATGTTGACTATCCAAATGTCGAAAGTAGCATGATGGAATCTGCTCTTTTTTTGTTACAGGGACCGTGAAGAATTCACATTGAAATTAAAAGGTGTTCTAGGGATTTATATTTATTCAAATGTAAGCTTCCAACTATGCAACTGTGCTTAGCTTTTCAGCCTAAACCATTTGTGTTTTGATGACAATAAAAGGATGGGCCATGAGAGAGAGATGAAAATGTCAGCTTTCTTATCTAGTTTTATTGGTGATGAACAATACCTCTTGGCTGTTTGCAAGTAACTGGACAAATAAGTTTCTTTGCTGAAGAAAAAAATCCTCAGACATGCAAAAATTAACATAAAAATACTCTTTTTGTAAAGCTTTTTGTAAGCTTTTTGTAAAAAGGATATTCAAAACAACTTTCTGTCTGAAATGGTGCAGACTTCCAAGGAAAGGCTACATTATTCCTGAAAAAAAACCTGAACTTTTCCAAGAAAGTCTTGACTTAATGCGCTCAAAGAAAAGAACAATCAAAGCAATGTACTGCATCATGCCCCTTCATAGTGATCTGCACACAAAGCTTATGTCACACTAGGGAAAATAATGACCCAACCTTAAAAAGTTAATATTTTTAGGAGTTTAACTTTCTTTCCAAAGAAATGCAATCAATGTATAATAACAAATGGTTAAATTCATTCATTATATATCAACTGAGGCTTACATGGTATAATTTACTGTTCTATCCAAGAAAGCATAATCTCTTGGGCAAGTTCTGAAAAATCCATATTAACTCCATTTGCTTATTAAGTACAGCTCAGCAAATAACAGCTGTGATTTGGCATGAATTTGGAAAGAGTTATAGTGCTTTAGAATTTGAAGCTTTCTGCGCTGCATTGCAGATCTACTGGTTTGGGATGGGATGCTAAAAAATCTAGTTTTTTGCTAACATATTTATTTAGAAATGGAAGTATTTTTTTTTTCCATTTTCAGTGCATCTTTTAACAACTATCAGATGCCAACCTACTCAGCCTCCACATTTCCAGATTTTACATCATTGCTGTAGGTGCAGGATTGTCTTCAGTTCAATAAAATTCCACTGTTGTCTCTGATTCTGAGAGTATTTGAAACAGCTAAGTTCTTGGGCGCTATGACAACGGCTGCAGCATAAGAGCATTGCACAGAATAACAGTCTGACAGCAGCGGAAGTGTGTGCAGAGAAGCTGGTTGCAGCTGATTGAGTTGAATAGGACTCCTTCTCTAGCTATGAGGGAATAGGAGTGCCTCTTTAATAGCTCTTAGCAACGCCCTTGCTTTGACCCTACTCGACTGTGAGGGAAATCAAATCAATACAACCTCCTCTGAACCACAATGCTTCCACAGCAGCAGGACCACGACCAGCAGATCATCACAGCTGCCTTTGTCTCTTCTTAAATTTGATCAAGATTTCTTCCTTTGAATTGGATTTTTGGATACAGTTAATTGCTGAAAAATCTTCACGTGCCTCGCTGAAAGGATCTAAATTGTTCTGTATGAATGCTTTTTATACTTCTGGCTTTGGTGGCTTGCTGTTGTTCATTAAAGAGAGAACTTTGAATTTGCAATGTTAATTTGAAATTTAATTAGCAACTTCTAATGCCGATGGTAATTGTATGTGGAAATTTAAAATATGTACTGTAATAGCAAAAATTCACACACTCTTATGATCATGAGAGCTTGTTTTGGAACACATTTTTAAAAAGGTTCACTCACCTTTTTTAAAGATGTTTTGATGTTATCTTTATCTTTAGTAAGATGTTTAATAATAGTTGATCGATAATTCGTAGCTTTTAAAAGTTAATGTGTTTTTTCTCTCCTTCCTTCCTAGAGATGGCCAATAGAGGACCAAGCTATGGCTTAAGCCGAGAAGTTCAAGAAAAGATTGAACAGAAATATGATCCAGAACTGGAAAGTCGTTTAGTGGATTGGATTATTATGCAATGTGGTGAAAATATAGAGCACCCCCCTCCCGGAAAACAACATTTTCAGAAATGGCTAATGGATGGAATAGTAAGTAATAATCTGATATTACATCTATAAATGTAACATTGTTGAATAATATCATTTGCTCCTAAATTTCTACAATTTCAGAAATATATCAAGTAATCAATTAACTTTGGCATGCATTCCTGACCTCATTAGGTAGCATGTCCTATAAAATCAATAAGTAACAAAGTATTGTTTCAGAGTATATTTGATTTGTTTAACTTAAGAGCAATTATTATCTCCATCTGTAAACTGCTTTTCTCTAGACTCCAACAAAATAATTAAAACATTGAAGGTGATTGCTCTTATGAGCAGTATGAAAAACAGTGTACAGAGACAGATGGAACAATGGGTATGCAATATGAGGAATATAAATTACAATCTTTGACAGTTAATTACAGATCCTTTACAACCCTGTGCTTTTCCATAATAGCATTATCTTCCTTAAAAATGGGTTAGTTGTGAATATTCGTTTATGAAATGCCACAATACTGTTATTTTTCCCAAAGAATAAGCAATTCTAAGTCTTTAAGTGTTAATTTATTCATTTACTGAAAAAGCAGCACAAAGATGCTTTCATTTATATGGAAGACTTGGCAAAATTATTAAATGTAGTGATTGTGTTTTTATCAGCTTACTACTTGATACTACTTACAATTGAGCTAAAGCTGTGTTTTGCTCTTCCATGTGACTATCAATTGTTATATAATCTGAAGTGACTAATTTGATTTTGCCTGCTTCGTTACAGCCATGTATGTTTTATCTGTGGAAGGGGAAGCTTTGCCAAGAATTTTTAATGTGTTTGGCTCAAATGCATTCATAATAAATGCTGTCAGTAGCATACACTTATGTTTGTATTATGTATTTCATTTGAGGAGCAGAAAGCCAGGGGACCCTTCTAAGTGGCATTAGAATATCTATGTTATAAACAGAGTAATATACACCTACTGTGTTGCCTTTAGTTGGTGGAATTAATTGATTTTGTCTCTTTCAATTCTGCTTTTAATGGTCAATCTCCCAGCTGCTCTGCAAGTTAATAAACAATCTTCATCCCAAGGGAAAAGAACCTATTGCAAGGATCACAGAATCAAAGATGGCTTTCAAACAAATGGAACAAATTTCTCAGTTCTTGAAAGCTGCAGAAATCTATGGAGTACGAACAACAGATATCTTCCAGACAGTAGATTTATGGGAAGGTAGAGACTTATTTATATATGAGGGTGTTTGTTTGTTTTTACTGTAAAACTGTTTAATCTGCTATTCACTATATATTTCTTTATGAGAAAATTCCCAAATGCCATTACAATTATTTCTGATTTGCATTGCCTTTAAGCACTGTTCTCTCCAGTAATGCCTTATTTTCTCTTGAAATTTATATTGATGCAAGAGTTAATGAAATATTTTGTATTTATATCCAATTGAAAGATCTGGTTTTTTTTTTACAGAAGTACATCAAAACTAAGAAAATAGAGGTTTTATTATAGCAGATATTTCAGCAAAATAACAACTTATCATTTTAAGGATAGTGAATTGTAATTAGTTTTCATTTAAATGTAAACATAAACCAGTTCTCATTTTCTATATTTAGCTTGGAACAAAGTTAGTAAGTATATCAATACTTTCTGAATTTCATTATCTAATTTTAACCAGTATGTATGGAAAACATGCACAGAAATTTAAAAATGTACGTATTAGGAGAAAGTCCAAACAGAAATTAATTATATTAGGGGAACCCATTACCAAAATTAATACATTAAGAAAGATGCACATAGAAAGAGTATATACTAGAAGAAATATATAGCTATTTGCTAGTATCTTGGCAATTTGGTGGGAAAAAATCATGATGGGACATTCATAGTACGGGATTTATCCAGTTTCAGATTGGGAAAACATACTTGACAAGTTCACTCATTGATTGTAGTACATGAAATTAATCATTCCATAAATAATAACCACTCTCTTGAATGAAAGAAAACTCAGGGAAAATAGTCTGAAACCTGATGATAATAATATTTAGACTGAGTTTATATTGGATGAAGCTTCAAATGTGTATATGTTGTCATTTCACCTCTGGAAATGGGCCTTATTCAAGTCGAGTAGTACCTTTATGATTTATGCAAATCCTACAAAAAGGTGTTTTGAAGCACAGCTGAAGTTTCAGCTGGTAGAAGACAACTCTTTTTAAATTGAAAAAGCAGATTAATCTTTTACCAAGTTCTCAAGAATGTTTTAGAAGCTGTTCCTCACTATCCCAATGAGAAGGTACAGCATATGCACAGTCACTGCTCCACATTTTGCTCAATAAAAAGGTGAAGTAATTTTATATGCCCCTCTTTTTATTATACTCTGGAATAAAGAACATTCCATGTATGTCTCTTAGCATCAGGAAACACTTGGTTTAATGGAAATAAAATACTAATATCTACTCTGATATTCTGATAACTTAGTCCAGTGCCTAAATTCAGGCCTTTTTTTTCAACAGCTTTCTTCCTAGTATTAGAAGAATCCATATAGATAATAATATTGTCCTTGTAATGATGAATTTGGTATTTCCTTATATGTATCCTTTATGAGTATCTGATGGAAGTCATGTATATGAGTCAAAATAAATTCTTGCACTCTCCATTTAAAACAATTGTCCATTCTTATTATATTCGTTTTTCCTTTCCATTTCCTAGTCTTGTGCAGCAACTGTAGGAGTTCTGCTTTCCCTTTTATATTTATTTTGTGCTTTAAATTAAATTATGAGCCTGAAGGCTTGCCTAATCCATTTACAGGGACTTTTGTATCTAAAGAACATTTTTTAGATGTGAATTGATAATGATACTCAGGAAACAATGAAAAGCTCCTGCTAAAAGCCCTGCCTGATGTGACTACTGGCTCTGGGGAGAAAAGGATAAAGCAATATTTTCTTTCTATTGCTAATCACATCTCAGATGTTTCCAAGAAAAGTTAGGCAGGATAAGAGCCAGTAATCCCCATATCAAAAACTGTCAAGTAATGAGAGAAGATTCTGGATTTTGACCAAGAAAAGTGATCTTTACAATTCAAACGGCATTCCTTTGAAGTTTGAATCAGAAACTGAATGAAGGTATTGAAGCTTTCCCAATTCTACTAATGTCCAGTTGCTTACAGCTGTATTCCCAGAAGAGGAATTCTGGGAACCCTACTGCCCTCTCAGCTGCAGGGCATCAAGTTGGAGAAGGTTTACATATACCACGACCCTGGGTTACACTGAGATTATCTACTTGGATAGCCATTTACAGACCTCACAGTTTAAATCTGTATTATGCTAAGGTTAGGAATAGGAACAGAGAAACCCAAGCTCTCGTGACATTGACTAGAATATCAGTGTTGTTGTGAAGGAAAAAAATGATTAGTACGCTTAAGCACATACCAAATAAAAATACTAAAAATCTATAACTAGGTAGTGAGCAAAAACTGTCAAAAATGTTCATCTGATATATCATGTCTTTTCAAGGGTGCAAATAATGAATAATTAAATGTGGATGACAGGGGTAGGAGCACAACAGTAGCTATCTTAATAATCCTTCATGCTAATTAAGACACCAAACTTGTCCCCAAATTGGGAAGCAGGATTTTGTATTGTGATTGTCCCACCAAAGTAATGAAAACAATTCTTGATTATCAAGTCATAGATGGCTTCTTTTGAATTAATAAAACAGTTCTATTCAAATCGGCATGCCTTTAAATTACAGAAGGTGTATGTGTGTGGGAGGGAAAATAGCATACAAAATTGAGTTATTATGTAATACCTTATAAATATTATTTCTACATTTAAAAAAAACAATAAACCTTTGGTTTGCCATGGGGCTGCCTAGTCCCTTGAGAGCCCTGTGGCCTGTAATAATCCAACATTAAACGACCACCTTAGAGTTCCCTGCCTTTTGTTGTTTAATTTTTTTATTATTCTATAATTTTTAAATGTTTAACCTTAATTTAATTTTTCATTTCTAATGTTATTTTTTATACGTTGTTTTATTTATCGGTTATATTATAATGCATAATGCCCAGAGCCACTCTTTAGGGAAAGGGTGGTTTAGAAATATGAAATATAAATAAATAAATCTCATAAAAAGACATGCAACAGAGGTACTTAGAAATGGTACATCAAATTAACACATTATTTGACCAGAATATCCAATAGACCTGAGAAAACTATCATTTTCTTTATTAGTAGAACTTTAAAAGGTTTTTAAAAGGTTCTGTTCATCACTGGCTACATTTTATTTATGTTTTATTTGTTCCATAGATGTTATATGCAATACTGCTAATTACTCAACTTATTTTAAAATTATTTATTTAGGGCATTCCCATTAAATATGTAAATATGTTCATTTTTAACTTGGAAGTTATCATAATATTATAAAATATTAAGAAGGTTGTACTTTCTGGCCCAAAGCCCTTTTTAAGTGAGTTCTGATATTGAAGTCTTTGAGATTTCATTTCCAAGGTTATCATATGACAGTTGAGAAATATTTGTGATTCTTCATTTCCTTCATCTAATGCTAATTGTAAAAAGCTAGTAGTTAATTTTTTTTAAAAAAAACTTTCACTTCCAATGCAAGCTGGACTAGATACTTCTGTTTTCAAATATCCACACCTATGAACATGGCATAAGACTGTAGAATGTTAACCTTCTCCTTCCAGCTTGCCCTTTGCCAAACACTTCTTTCCTTTGTTAGAATATCACATTATCATAAAACACTGACCTCAGATTTCCTTTTCCAAAACTGGAGCCTTTGTTTTGACTATGACTTAAAAGGGAGTGGCCTGAGATCTATGCTCTGGGATCAGCATCTTTTAATAGACTTAAAGTTACTTTAAAAATTAATGGGAGTAAAAAGGGGGAAAGATGGCTTCTAAATCCTCTCATTGCCTTATGGATGTTACCATTGCATTTTTACTTCACCCATGCAGTCCTCAATAGCTACAAACAGTAATTTTTAAAATGTGACTTTTAAAAGCAACTTTTAAAAGATGACATTGTCACGAAATTAACAGATGTTCCTTATTACAATGAGCCAGGGCTGTATGACTCACAATCCCCCGTTAATGTTAACTTTTCTGTAGTCAATTTAATCACTCTGTCTTTGTTAAGTAAAGATAGTAAAATTAATTCATGCCGCTGCTTAGGAACAAAATAAGGACTGCTCTGAAAACAGTGCTGGGCAATTTTCGTAATGATATTACTTGTTAGCATAGGCCATGACAACTTAATATCTGCGGATTCTTTTATGTGATTTTTCATGTTGTCTTGTCACCTAGGGTTTGATATATGGTGTGGCTTTGTGAGTGTAGAGGGAGATTTAACTCATTAGTGTTCAATATTTTGCTGCCGAAATAAAGATTAGCTTTACATATCTAAAGCTTCCTTCAGCAATTCTCAGAGTGTATGTTGTCAATGCAAAGAGTGGTGGTGATGAGAATGAAAATGAAAATAGCACTGTAGTCCATCATATTGCCTTCTATTTGCAAAGGATGAATTATATGCAAAGGAAAATGTCCTGCATCTATAGAGATGCGTCACATAATTTAAATCTCTGGAATTATAGAGACTGTCCTCTAGAGTGTCTATGGAGATTCTCAGTCAGCCGGGTCATAGTTGGCCCAAAGCAGAGGTGATATTCAGCAGGTTCTGACCAATTCTGGAGAACTGGTAGCGGAAATTTTGAGTAGTTCGGAGAACTGGCAAATACCACCTCTGACTGTGGTTTTACAGCATCCTTCCCCTGCCACGCCCACCAAGCCATGCCCACAGGACCGATAGTAAAAAAATTTGAATCCCACCACTGGCCCAAAGGTGCTTTTTCAAGAGGCAACTGGAGTTTCTGGTTGACTGAGAATCTCCATAGACATTTAGCTATGTATTTTGGTATAAACACCCTTCGAATGGTGCGGGAGTATGAATAGATATCAGAAAATCCAGTTGCCTCTTCAAAAAGTACCTTTGGGATGTCCTCTAGAGCAGTGATCCCCAACCTTTCTTATGCCGCGGCCCGGTATCCCCAACCTTTTTTATGGCGCGGCCCGGTACCGGCATTAGCTGGGCGCCGCCATCTTTTTTTGATGAAAAAGTGCTTCCGGTGACCTCACCAGAAGCACTTTTTCATCAAAAAAAGATGGCGGTGCCAGCACTTCCGGTGAGCTTTTCCGGGTAGAAATGGCTTTCTACCCGGAAAAGCTCACCGGAAGCGCTGGCGCCACCATCTTTTTTTGATGAAAAAGTGCTTCCGGTGAGCTTTCTACCTGGAAAAGCTCACCGGAAGCACTTTTTCATCAAAAAAAGATGGCGGCGCCCAGCAAACCAGCGGCCCGGTAGGACTTGTTCCATGGACCGGTACCGGTCCGCGGACCGGTGGTTGGGGACCCCTGCTCTAGAGTGATACCAGTGTTTTCAATCTGGACATCTCCAGATGTGTGGACTTTCAAAACTCCCAGATAGCTACATGAGAAGCCCTGTACAGATAGGCACATGAAGCTGACAAGAAAGATAATACATTGAGGCAAAACCAACACTCTTTTGCTTCTATCCTGCAATCTCCCCCACATACATATATGTTCACATTTGTAGTGGGAAAATTGAAGAAGGTTTAAAAGAAATATCAGGAGACTGAAAGAAAAAACAAAGTGGTTGACATAAGAGGAGGCAAGTTAGAATGACCAAAAGCTTGATATATCTATAATAGAGGAAGGCCAATGAGTTATAAAAGACATAGATGAAAACAGCCTGAACTTATGTGGGCTGTATTCCCTCATAATATCATGTTTTGGAGCCTATATGCAGCTTATGCTGGTGAAACTTGCAGCAAACTATTCATTTATTTCTGGCCATCATATTTTACTTCATTTGTTGGCAGTTAGAATAGGGGGAAAAATCCTAACTCCAGCCCCCAAAAGCTACTTTGTTCTCCACAAAATTTTGCCAAACCTGATTAGAAAGATATAGTTTACTGAAAAGTATAGCCTCTAGTACAATCTCATAGAGATCAAACATATGGGCAGGTTTCCTAAATCTCCAAAACTTTTTATAGTTATACACTGACAGTCATGCAGCAGTTTGCAAGCTAAAGGTAGGAAGAGTTCTATCAAGGAAAATTCCTTTGAGACCAGAATAAAACAGGAAACATAATGTAATAATAAAAGCTCTGGGGATTTTGAGGTTAAACAGGTGTCTACGTAATGCTGCTGAAGTACAACCAAACAATTTAACAAATGAATAATTCTTTTTAGGAAAAGACATGGCTGCTGTGCAAAGGACTCTAATGGCTTTAGGCAGTGAAGCTGTTACAAGAGATGATGGATGCTACAAAGGGGATCCCTCCTGGTTTCACAGGTAAGAAAACATTTGTTGTTTCCATTTTCAAACATAGACCTGAAAAATAAATGTACTTGTTTAATGAAAAACAAATCTTAGACAGAAGAAAAATGTATTTTTTTAAAGCAAGACACCTTAATTTTGGCCCTTTTCAGCTGTCAATTAAAGAGCTAATGACCTTTTTAGAAGACATGTTCAAAAATGTTCCATTTATAATAAATGAATTATGCTAGTGCAGAATGGTCTACCCAGGAGTGCATAAATTTCTTCACTTACTGACCTAGAGCTATTGAAAATGAAAAGTATAGAATTCCACTATTTTCAGACAGGAAATATGCAAATCTTTAGTATAAATTATAAATGCATACACAGCTTTTAAAAAAGAGAAAAGAACAAAACTATCCCAAATCCTTCCCTACTCCAATATGTGATTATTATTATTATTATTATTTTTTTGGGGGGGAGAAAGGTAAAGGAGTCCCTGCAGATTTGATTGCACAGGTCATTGCTGACATTGCTGGCAGTGCTCATATCCATTTCAAGGTCATTGAGCTACCACTGTCTGAAGGCATTTCTGTGGTCATGTAGCCAGCATGACATCACGGAGTGCTGTTACCTAATCATCAAAGTGGTATCTATTTATCTATGTGCATTTACTTACTTTGAAACTGCTAGGTTGGCAGCAGCTGGGGCGAGAATGGAAGCTCACTCCATCACATGGTGCTCAAGTCTCGAACTTGGGCTGCCAGCTTTCCAGCTGACAAGCCCAGTGTCTTAACCGCTGAGCCATCGCATTGTCTTCAAGTATATGATATGGCCCTATATATTTTGTCTTTTCCCTGACAAGCACATCTCAGCCCTTTAATCTCCAAAACATTAGGTGAGCGCTCAGCTATCGAATGCTTGCCCACCCCAGTATATAATTTGTGTATCAAGAAGTCTTCTCTTGTTTGTGCAGCTAATAGATCAGGTAGTATGTCTTGCTTAAAGTATTTGAGTCATTCTTTCTAGAAATGACTCAGATATCTGTAGAAGTAATTGTCCAAGCATTAACAGAAATACAAAACGTAATTTGCAATTCATTACTAGCTGCTTAGATGGTTCTGAAACTATACTTCCTTAGAATTTTGCTCTACTTCATGATTGTTGATAAATGTATATATATTTAAGAAATGTGCTTAACAGTTCTGAAGCAATTTTCTCTGATATTTGATACATTTTGTTACATCAACCTCTGGAGAAATAGTGCTTAATCTTGCACGCTCTTGTCTTAGTAAAGCAGAACATCTACTTAAGTGTTTTTCTGGATGGTGGCCAGATAATATAAAACCAACACTGTCAAGACAGTGGCTGGCTGATTTTCTATTTGATAATAATATTTCTACTCTTTCTCAAATATGGCTTATCCATATGTAGCAAAATACTAGGTTGGTTTAGTTTTTTTATACTGAGGTGTTGAGTGAGGTTACTCCAATACAGGAGTATCCATCCACTATAAATTATTTGATAATAATTTTTATTTTTTTAATTGTTTTGAATGAGGCCATGGCACCTCCGAGCTTCCAAGAGGGGGCTGTATCATTTGTTGGATGAGGGTGAACAGTTTCCCTAAAATGTCACTGTAATTAATGCTACTTTCAACATGCCATATTGGCTGAGATGCTTTCTATCTCCTTGTGTTTAATATTTTTTTGAAGGAAAAGAAATGCAAGGTAATGCATTTTTTTCAGAGTGGCTAAATATGTTCAGGAAATAGAGTAGAATTTTAGAAAGCCTTTATATATAAGTTATTCATACTTCAAGCCCCTAATGCCCCCTCAAAGAGATCCCTGGGGTCCTTAGGACTTGCTGGATTCCATTATCTTATGACAAAGACACACTTACAGCTTCAGAAGTGGGAATTCAGTGTTAGAAACCTTTTCTTGTCTTCCAAAACAGCTCATGTTCTCAAAATCAGGGCAGTACTAACCTTATACTGTAGGGCTGTGGCAGTCAATTTGATAAACATTTGAGAATTTAAAATAGAACAAACATGTCACTTTTAAAACAGAATCATTTTCACAGGAAAGCACAGAAGAACCAGCGAGGATTTTCTGAAGAGCAGCTTCGCCAAGGTCAGAATGTCATTGGTCTTCAAATGGGAAGTAACAAGGGAGCATCCCAGTCAGGAATGACAGGATACGGAATGCCAAGACAGATCATATAGTTTAAAACCACCTTTAAACTCTCACTTACTCACTTGGTAGCATGGCCTGACTGAAAAACACATAGCTAGTTAATGTTCATGCTGAGATCTGCTTCTAGGTTTTCTCTCTAAGATTATGTATGTGTGTGTATATGCATATGCATATGTATACACACACACACACATATATATACAATCTTTCGACTGAAATTGTGGATCTGTGTGCTTGTTGCGTGTTAGTTCACATAGCACGCTGACACCATATGATGTTCATTTTTGAACTATGCAAAGACTATTTTTCTGTATTTATTTGCAATTTGTTATTTTCTGTACCCTTGTCTTATTGAACTGCCTATAACTTCTCAGTCCTTTTCTTCTCTACTCTATTCTACTCTCCTCTTCTAAAAATAAAATGGGGTGAATAACTGGAAAGATTTAGGCTGGATATCTCTTTTGCAGTATCTCTATGCTCTGAAATAAATGTTTTAAAAGGAGAATGATTATGATTTACCATACTTTATAGAAACAATTGAGTTCATTATGATCCTCGTCAAGGATATATGCAGACACACACACCTAGAGAGACACAAAGTTTAGCTGATCGAACGTGATTGGGCAAAAGGTGTCCCAGATCAATAAGATTGTAACCTAATGAGGCAGGAAGATCCCCAATCCATGAAAAATCATTCCAGAACAAACAGTAGCATCAGAGGAAGAATTTGGACAATCAAAACAGGACACTGGTGGGAAGTATGATGTTTATTGGTTCCAATCATCTTCTGCCTTCAACTGTTGACAGCCAGTCTTTCACAAGTAGACAAAGGCCTGATCTATTGTAAGGTGTTTTTTTTCTTAGTATCCCTTTAAACTTTGCTGACTTATGCTGAACCCCACTACAGTACTTTCTCCTGGATACACTTACCAATGTTTACTTAATCAAGTAATATATGATTTGGTTTTTGACATGGAAAAATCAAAACATTTCGTTTAAATCATAACCTTCTCAATCATTATGGGTAAGGGACACATATCCTACCGTTAGACTTCAGTCCAAGCGTCTTCAGGTACCTTTCATTTAAAGTTGGAGGAAATTTCAAATATTAAAATGAATAGGATTTTTGCATAATTTATTCTATATTATTTTGCCATTGAATTCACATGTTGTAGCTTTATTACTATCCACTAAAAGGACTAACCTTTCCCCTCCCCTTCATAAACTAAAATTAAGGATTCATCTTTAAATCAGAATTAGGCTGATTTGCTCAAGGCTTTTAGTTGGAATGGGCTTCTCAAGTTCTTCATTGGTTCTCCAACCATTTTCTATGCCCTCTGGTTTTCTTCTTGTATCAGAAATGCCAAACTTAAGGTGGCTGTTATTTGGGGAACGGAGAAACAAATTGTAATGTACACTGCCCAAATGTTTAACATAGTAATTCAAAAAAGAACACACATACATATGAACAATACAAAAAATCCTCACCTTATTTGTATTTGACAAGACTCTACTCCATGTAATTCTCCTACTCTCTGTTATCCTTTGTCTACCCAAAATATTAACTACATACAATGAAGTTTGACTATCCGTGGCTTAAATACATTCAGAAAATTATAATGCACTCAGTGGGATTCTGTTTAATAAAACCTGCATCAAGGCTGCTTAATATAAAGGGCTAACTTTTATAAGAGAAATTGGATCTTGACTATTGAGGGAGGATGAGTTCAGAATGCTTTACTATGATTATCTCATTTTATGCTTCGCTTTGTGATTGTTTAAGTTGATGTTACTTGTCTTATCAACTTACCTTCTGTAGCAGTTTTATATTGATGCTCAGGTATTCTCATTGTTTTCTCTGGAAACTGAAAGGATGATGAAGACAAAAATCTCCATTCCAGCAGTACCTTTTCCCAGCCAAGTTAAGGTATGGGATGTGTTTCGCTTTTTGCATCAAGAATATGACTATTATGGCAACAGGATCAGGACATTTATACCTGTTTCTAATTATTTGTGGCTGTAGGATGCTATCACCTACTTTTTCACTTACTTTTGTCTGCTTTCAGCTCAACTCATCTACAATTATATCAGGCTGGAAATATAATGACCAGAAATTCAAGATATACAGTTAGCCAGTGCACCCCTGGAATAGGTGCTCAGGAATACAATATTAGATTGGTATATCATTATCAAACCTGACTGATGTTTGGTTATAGTTGCTTCTGCTGATATTAAATGAGCGACAAAAATATCATTAAAGTTCTTCATTCTGATCCTGGTTATACTTTCCCACTCAAAGTAATGTTGGAAAGAAAGTAAAGGAGCCCAGAAATCATCCATCTGTCAATCCATCATTGTGAGATTTTGCTGAAAACTGAATCCAACGGAAGCAAATTTGGTGTAGGAGAGAAGCTGGGAAAAGAAATTATGTCCAAATGTGTACCAAATCTGGCTGGGGACTCTGGAAAAATCTTTTATCATTATCACTATCATCATCATCATCATCATCAATAACAACAGCATCTTCATAATACATAAAAAGAAAACCTTTCAGTGCAACAATACAATAGAGCTAGACAACACCTCAAATTCTGTTAAACTGTTTTATTCTTAGTCCTCATCCTTTTTTCCTCCTGGCTATGTGACTCAAGAGCTAAGCCTATGTGATTTATCACATGCTGTTCACCACACCACACACATGATGAAATATGGATGGAATGCACACAGAGAAATATAATATATTACATGTACCTCCCTTGGCCACTGCTGGTTGAGAAGTTGAAAATAATTCCAAAAGCCATACCTTGAAGCTGGATTGAATTCCACACACATCAAAGTTTTCTCTTCCCTTCCCAGAACTTAACCCTAACTCTAACTCTAACCTCAGCCCTAACCCTAACCCTAACCCTAATGGCTCAATACCATTTATTCATGTCAGTTAACAAATTTAATATAGTTAACTAACCTATGGAAATATAAGCAGCTCTTTGATAAACTGTTCACTAAGATGAAATATTTCCCTTCTGTTTACCTTTGCCAAAGTAGTTAGAAATACCTAAAAAACATACTAGACAAGTGTTATCTGCAACATTTGTATTTTATATGCAACAGTCTTATTTGATGAGGAACTTCATTTTAAAGTAGAGCAAAAAAAGATACTCTCGCACTTCTTCCGGGAAGAAGTTTCTTAACATGTACTCATAGACCCAGTCTTTCTTCTGAGTAAACTAAGAAAGAATTCCTCAAACTGGATTCTGCTCCTGGAGAGAACTTGGACAGTTTTATGTATTTATCTTAGCTGTGTGGAACACTTTATCATCACCTTCTGTGATTTTACTTTTTTTTTTTTTAGTAATAACTATTTTTAAAATAGGGGTCTGATTTCAAAGGAAGAAAACTGGCATGTATTTCCCCATCTTGCCACTTTATCAGATTTTGCATTGAGTTAAATAAGTTTGAATGTTTCAAGTTGTATTTTGGATTCCCTATGAATTAAAATTCTATTAGGTTATCCTATTTAATTGGTTACCACGTTTTAGGTACGGCCAACCGGAGTTCAGATTGAGCATTTGTAATTTCTAGGAAATACTCCCTTAGAAGAAAGTGATGTGAACGAACTATTGAAAAGTTAGGCTTATCATTTCCATTGTTGGAATTGTTGGTATTTAAAAAAAAATTATCCAGTGTAAGCTCACTATAGCAAGAAAGGTGATCTAAATTTATTTTCTTGTACTTCTAAAAATAAACAACTCTTAAATACGCTCTGACTTTATTATTGCATAATTTTAAAGGCTCACTAGATTAATACCATTAATGCAAGAATACAATAACTGAAAAGTCCAATTTATAGCAGCCTGGTGTGTGTTTGTGGCAACAGGCACACTGGACCTAGTTATGAAATAAATGACAAATATGAGATTTTTATTTTATCAAATATTTTGCAAATCTAGCAGAATAGTCAATTTAGTTTCAATTTCAATATTCTGAGTTTCTTCACAAAATGGATATTTCACTACCACAAACTGAACTACACAAATATAAGAACTGAGCAATAAATGAGGTTTTGAAACTATTTTAAAACTTTTACTGCATAGCTTATTAGCAAATGGTTAGCACAGTTTTACTTAGATAATTATTTCACCCATTCTTCCATATGAATGGATATGGTAATGTTTATGATTAGACATGTGGTTTGTGTCCTCACCACAATATAGTTGTTTGGGGCAATAACCTTGGCTCTCTATGAATGCATCATCTGTGACCTTCAATAATGTTATAAAATAAAGATCTGATCCTATGTTCAAGCAGCAGAAGTAATAGATATAGTTGTGATTAATTTAATGGTATGATATGACCTTTGTTTCTAATTAGATTTGTCTGGCAGGACTCCTTTGCTGGAAATATCTTCCAGATGTTCTTGTAATTTATTAGTTCTAATAGAAAGGATAGTAGCAGAAAATGCATTATGTTTCATAGTTGAGGCCTGTTTTCTCGGATGAATGTTTTCTGTGTAAGCTGAGTTCTTAGTGCCATATTTCATAAACAACATGGGTGCATTGGTTGACAAATAAAGCTATCAGGCTTAATCTAAAAATTGCACTTTTGCAAAGCCTGTCATAATGTATTATTCATGAAATATATCTGTTTAAAATCAAATTCTAGAATAAGCATACAATATCTGGGCTATAGACATATGGATGGCCACTATATGGTGGCAAAGGCTATAGCTTCCTATATCAATGGCTGGAATCTAATCAGAAGGAGTCTGGAGGCAACTTTTTCAGCTAACAAATTTTATTTTCATCAGTGCATTCTATGCCTCTGATGAATTGAACTTCAGGTCATAAAAGCTTATATCTTTCAATAAAATTAGTTTTAAAAGGTGCTATGAGACTCCTGATGTTTTGCCATAACAGACTAACACAACTCTCCTACAACTGCTAACATCCAGTGGTTCTCTATATTTTTGCACCAGAGATAAGGTACAGATAGTCCTTGACTTATGACCACAATTGAACCCCAAATTTCTGTTACTAAATGAGACAGTTGTTAAGTGATTTTTTTCCCCATTTTATGGCATTTCTTTCCACAGCGGTTAAATGTATCACCGCAATTGTTAAGTTAGTAGCACAGTTGTTAGTAGCTGGCTTCCCCATTTACGTTGCTTGTCAGAAGGTGGCAAAAGGGGATCCCATGACCTCAGGACACTGCAACGGTCATAAATATGAGTCACTTGCCAAGGGTTTGAAGTTTGATCACATGACTACAGGCCTGCTCATAAGTGTCATAAGTGAAAGGTTGTAAGTCTAAACTTTTGTTTAGTGTCATCCTAACTTCAAATAGTCACTAAACAAACTGTTGTATGCTGGGGACTGCCTGTATACCCATTCTGAAATGGATAGTAAGTACTCCTA